GTATGTAACATTATGAAATTTTTTACCGTTTGACTTCAACCAAATAGGATCTGTAGGTTAGAGATTGTATCCACATCGAAAAAGCATATTCTTTTTTTCTTCTTCATGGAACAGTTAAGGATTTTATCGTATCCTGATTCAGATTGAAATGCTCATGACAGGCTCATTTAGGAAATGCCAGAGTTTACAATAGGACCGTTGGGAAACTGGGAAGGAACGGCAAAGGTCATCATCAAGACGGTCGGTTTTGAAATTTGAAATAACTACAGTATCTTTAAGAGAGATGCTTACACTTCCAATGATTTGGGCGTAAATTTCGCGCGTTTGTTACATTGCCATATTGTTGACTTAATTACCTTCAGGGAATCTGTCACAGATTTGTTTTGTGCTCTTACAAGTAAAGCATAATGTACATGCATTGCAGGGCAACATTGCCGAAGAGAAAGTAGACGCCATCTGCATAAGTGTTGGTAGTACTTTGGAACATTCCAGTTCTACATGGAAAGCTATCACAAAAATATGTGGAACGAAAGTGTACAAGGTATAGCATAATTCATCATCCACGTGCCTATCGCAATATTCTGAAGTGACTGCATCAGGATGCTTACGAGAAGGCTCGGAAAGCCCAGACAACCTGGCTTAATAGAGGAGAGATTCTCGTTGTGGATACAAGGGATACTAAGGTTGGCCGACTTCATCTAAATTTATTTTTTCTTTCTCTGCGTTGAGTCTGCAACTGCTGAGGCTTTCCACACAGTGTGTTAAAATTGCTGATCGCGTGAATTAGAATGTAAAGGATTGTTAATTCAAAGAAATAACTTAACAAATGAACGTCCTATGTTATATCCCAGTACTTGTGGCGGCCTTGAATTTTCTGTGGCGTTTTGCTTAAGCAAAAAAAGAATCATTCTCTTCTTATGATCAAAAAGAAAAGGGAGAAAGGAAAGGAATGGCAAGTTTTGCGCCATGGTGAATCCCATGGTTTTGCGACATTTTGCTATCAGTTCTCGTAACGAGCGAAAAAGGTAATCTTCAAGAAGCTCAAGCAAAAATGTGAAAGATTGTTTTGCTAGTCACTTTACATCGAAACGAGTATAGCATTGATTGCTTATGTCGATTCTCCTTAAGGAAAGATATGTTCGTGGTGCATTTAAAACATCTTGCTATTCGAATTTCAGCGAAGTATTCAATAGGAGAAAGAAGCTGAGAACTTTCTTGTCTACCCTAATTGATGAATGTTCATTACAGCTAGATGCAAAATACGTTTTTCTTGTGGTATTACCTGACATTTACCACCTTGAGACAGCATACACCAATATATTTCGAGAGGCTATTGCACATAGATGCACTTCGGTAGCCATACCTGGACTGGGATGCGGTTCGTTTTATCTCTTTTACTTGCATTGGCATTTCATTATCTTTATTCTGCCTCTTTTAGAAGCTAATGTGAAAGGTAAGGCTTTGTCTTCTAGTTTCCTAGTTGTATATCGACATGCTGAGAGGCTTATG